GTGTGACATGTTCAAGGGACATCAAGGAAGTCAGTGTGGCTGCAGCAGAGGGAGGAAGACCGTGACCATGTGTCCCAGTTCTACCCCCTTATCCCAGTCTCTCGTTTAGTTAGCTCACTTCTTGGAAGGGCCCTGGTTGAGATGACCGCTCATCTGGTCATCCTACAGTGAGGTCTGAAAGATAACTGGGGCCAGATCTTCTGAGGCCTTGACTTTGACTCTGAGTTGGGAAGCCACTAGAGGGTGACTTTATGTTTTAATGGGATCTTGCTGACTACTGTGTTGATAATAGACTGGACGGGGCAGGGATGGGAGTGGGGGGGGCAGGAGGGGGCGTGGGCTGCACGGCATCATGAAAGCCATCTGGAAGATACTGTGGTAATCTAGCAAGGGATGATGGAGGCCTGACCACGGTGGCACAGTGGCAGCGATGAGAGGTGGCTGGATTCTACACATATTTTGGTGGCTAGTAATAGTAACAAGTACCGTTTATCACCTATTGTATGGCACCTACTCACTGGGTGTTTGACATAAATATTCTCTGAGCCTGACAAAAAGGCTATGAGGATGGTTGTCATCTGTATGTTATGGATGAGTAAACCAAAGCTCAGAGACGTTAAGCTGCTTGATCAAATGGCTAGTTTGCCATCGTCTATTTAGAGGACTTCTCTTCGAATTTTACATTTGTGTCAAGAGATTTTGCTATGCGTCAGTTTAAACAAAAAGAAAGTTACTATTTAACATTGTAGGTATGAATTTTGCCAAGAGCATCAAGTGCGTCCTATTATTTACTACGTTAGTTAAACTATATTCTCAGAATTGATGTTAACAATAAATAGCCTTCATGAAATCACTTTTTTCCACAAATATTAAAGTTCAGTATTTTGAACTTTGTATTTCATTTGAAATACTTTTGGCTTTGTCATCATAAATTTGTTTGCCGTCATTATAATAGTTGTTGAATAACTTTGTCAGCTTCCAAAAAAGCAGTTCGAATGGTCTGGTCCTTCGTTCCTTGGTTCTCGTGTTCGTGAGCCCTTTGTCGCTGTCACACGAACACGTGGTCGACTGTGGCCATCTCATGTTGACCGATCGATTGTTCCGACGGCAGATATGTGGCATATCCCATCTCTGTAATCTCTTTTACCTTCCATTTTCAAAGTGGCTTTTGAGTTTTAGGTTAGCATATCACTAAACTGCTATACCTTTTTCCAAATTAATCCTTCTCTTCATGACCTTTTTAAATTTTTTGTTTTTTTTTTATAGACTGGCCGCGTCCTCTACACTTGCTTTCAATCCATTCAGGCCCAGAAGAGCTCAGAGTAAGTACATATGTTATGTTTCGATGGGTTAACTTCCAGTCAAGAACATTGCTTGTTTTCTTCCTAAAATTTTAGTTCTCTCACTGGTAAAACACCAAGAATTCTGTAGTCTACTTAACACTCCTTCGAAAGTGAGAGTCTCTTTCGCATCTCGGTATTGGGGATCTACAGAGCCAGCAGCACACAAGCAGTCTTTTTGTCCAGTTCGTTGTCACAGCCCCGTCCCGTGTTTCCTTTCTCCAAGCGACTCGACCCCCACTTCCCTTTCTCTGGTGAATTGTAAAGCAAAGACTAAGCGTGCAGAGTATTTGACATTCGTACAGCCTATTGTCTTTGTGGTGCCATGAACTTGACTTTAGAATTCCAGTATCTCATTGAAATGTTCGCATAGGTGACTTTCCTCCTTTAAATTCCATTCACCCTAAATTAGAAAATCTTAATCTAATCTCTGCTATCTGCCAAATGTCAACGTAGGCACTGAGGATGCAAAGATGAAAGCCAAGTTCATTATCTAATTGGGAAACAGAAGCAAAAACCGTCTTAAATTGTTTTTTTTTTTCTTATAATCATTGTCGATTTATTATTATAGCATTGTGGCATTGTTTGAAATAGCAGAGACTGGAGAAAAACATGTCTGTCAGTACAGACCGATGAAAGTATGATGCATCCCAAAATTGGATTAAGATGTTAAAAAAAATATGACGAAGCTCAGTAGTAATACGGAAATATCTCCGAGATACATTAATAAATAAAACAGGCGAGGTAGAAGAATATTATATATAGCGTGCTAGTATTCGGGTAAGAACATGGAAGAGAAGTATATTGGTGAACACACCAGCATACCTGCTGATAAATACATAGAATGTACGGAAGGGAACACGTCAGTCACCACCCCAGACGGGAAGTGGAAAAGGGCGAGTAGGACGTGCGCGGACTTCGCCGTGTGCTTCACAGAGCCTGGGAAAGTGGAACCAGACAAAAGTGGCGCTTAGTCAAGAAACTGGAATTTTTGATGTTTTCATCAAAGTCATAGCTGCACGTGCATCAACATTTCAAATGGTATGGAGGAACTTACGATAAATAATCTCAATCCTCAGAAGGAACCACTTCTTCTAATTTTGTTTTCAGTTCTGATTTTTACTTCGATATCTCAATAATAGACTTTTGATACTTTTTGTTGACTTACTAATTTTGGATATTATCTGTTTTCTTACTTTGTCTTGCTTTCGCAAATGAGGGTTTAGTTCACTTACACCGCCTCATCTCCGTTCTCCCTGAGGTAGTTATAGTAATACTTTCCGTTCTTCTGTTGGTCCCTTTTCTAATCTTAAATAAAGTTTGTTCTTTTATTTATTCTACCAACGACAGACAAGAGGCGGTGTCTTTTGGCTCCCTGCTGTCAACCTGCAGTTTTACCATAAACCTTTATATATTCACAGTTGCCAGTATTTACGTCCCGTGTTGTAACCATAATTGGGTTTCCTGAGCTTTGTCTACTAGTCGATTCGAAGAGTAGAAAAAAAAGTTTATATTATTACGATTATGTAAATCATCCATGTACAACCAAGCAGTATAATGTTCTATGCTACGATTCTGTTTCCTTCCGCGTATAGCTTTTTGCTGTTTCATAGGGTTTTGAAATGACTTTCCTCATTTTTTGGTCTCTGTCACCTCTGACGAGTCATAGCTGACCTCCTGGGACTTTCCTTCATTGTCCTTCTGGGTCGGCTCCATTGGTGTCTGGATTTCATGTCATCTTTCTTGGTTCACCCTGTCATCGTGCTAAACCTTCTGAGTCTGTGCTTGTCCGAAAATGGTTTTATTCTTTCTTAATAACCCCAATGGCTAAAGAATTCTGAACTGACATTTTCCTCCTCAGAACTTTAAAGGCATGGTTTCATTATTGTTTCATAAACATCCAGTATTATTGATGAAGTCTCTTACCAGTCCAATTCTTCTTCTTTTGTAAGGGACTTTCTTTCTCTCCTTTCTCTCTCTGGTAGCTTTTAAGAACTTCTCTATTTTTAAATTTTCTTTTATTATTTTCAATTACAGTTGACATTCAATATTATTTTATATTAGTTTCAGGTGTACAGCGTAGTGGTTAGATGTTCGTATAATTTGTGACGCGGTCCCCCACCCCCAATTAGTGTAGTACCCACCTGGCACTATACGTAGTTATTACAGCATTATCTACTCTATTCCCTATGCTGTACTTCACACCTCCAAGACTGTTTTGTAATTACCAATTTGTACTTCTTAATCCCTTCACCATTTTCACCCTGCCCTCCTACCCCATTCCCATCTGGTAAACATCAGTTTGTTCTCTGTGTCTATGAGTCTGTTTCTATTTCATTTGTTCATTTATTTTGTTCTTTAAATTCCACATGTAAGTGAAATCATATGTGATTTGTCTTTCTCTGACTTACTTCACTTAACATAACATCCTCTAGGTCTATCCATGTGTTGCAAATGGAATGATTTCATTTTTTATGGCTGAGTAATATTCCATTGTATATATGTGCCACTTACTTATCCAATCATCTGATGGATGCTTTCATTTCTTGGCCGTTGCGAATAACGCTGCAGTGAAAACAGGGGTGCACATACCCTTTCAAATTAGTGTTTTGGATTTCGTTGGATAAATACCCAGGAGTGGAATTGCTGGGTCGTAAGATAGTTCTATTTTTAATTTTTTGAAGAACCTCCAAACTGTTTTCCATAGTGGCTGCAATCCCACCAACAGTGCACAAGGGTTCCCTTTTCTCCACATCTTCGCCAACACTTGTTTTTTGTTTTATTGTCGATGACCATTCTGACAGGTGTGAGTTGATATCTCATTGTGGTTTTAATTTGCATTTCTCTGATGATTAGTGACCTTGAGAATTTTTCATACGTTTATTGGCAATCTGTATTTCCTCTTTGGAGAAATGTCTTATTCAGATCCTCTGCCCATTTTTAATTCGATTTTTTTTTGGTGTTGTGTTGTATGAATTCTTTATAAATTTTGGATATTAACCCCTTATTACATGTGTCATAGGTGAATGAATATCTTCTCCCATTTAGTGGGTCATCTTTTCGTTTTGTTGATGGTTTCCTTTGCAGTGCAAAAAGTTTTTAGTTTGATGTAGTGCCATTTGTTTATTTTTTCTTTTGTTCCTTCCCTTGCCTGAGGAGATATGTCAGACAAAATATTACTAAGAGCAATGTTTACTGCCCATGTTTTCTTCTAGGAGTTTTATGGCTTGGGATCTTATATTTAAAAGTCTTTAATTCATTTTGAATTTGTTCTTGTATACGGTGTGAGAACGTGGTCCAGTTTCTCTTTTTTTGCATGTATCTGTCCAGTTTCCCCAACACCATTTATTGACTACACTGTCTTTAGCCCATTGTATGTTCTTTTCTCCTTCGTCATAGATGAAATGACCATAAAGGCATGGATTTATTTCTAGGCTATCTATTCTGTTTGATTAATCTATATGTCTGTTTTGATGCCAGCAATCAATTGTTTTGATTACTGTGGCCTTGTAGTATAGTTTACTATCAGGTAGTGTGATACATCTAGCTTTGTTCTTCCTCAAGATTGCTGTGGCTATTTGGGGTTTTTTATGGTTCCATATAAATTTTAGGATTATTTATTCTGGTTCTGTGAAAAATGCCATTGGTATTTTCATAGGGACTGCATCGAACTACAGATTACTTTGGGTAGGATGCCCACTTTAACGATGTAAATTCTTCCCATCCACGAGCTCGGCATATGCTTCCATTTATTTGTATCTTCTTCAGTTTCTCTCTTCAGTGTCTTATAATTTTCTGAGCATAGGTCTTTTACCTCCTTGGTTAAATTTTTTCCTAGGTATTTTATTATTTTTTGATGCAGTCGTAAGTGCAATTATTTTCTTAATTTCTCGTTCTGATAATTCATTATCGATGTATAAAAATGCAACTGATTTTTGAATATTAACTTTGTATCCTGCTACTTCACTGAATTCATTGATCAGTTCTAACAGTTTTTGGGTGGAATCTTTAGGTTCTCTCTATATAGTATCATGTCATCTGCAAACTATGAGAGTTTTACTTCTTCCTTTCCAATTTAGATACTCTTTATTTCTCGTTTTTGTCTGATTGCTATGGCTAAGACTTCCAATACAGTGTTGACTGATCTTAAGGAAAATGCTTTTAGCCTTTCCCCTGTTGACTGTAGTGTTAACTATGGATTTGTCATACACGGCCTTTATTGAGTTAAGGTATGTTCCCTCTGTTCCCACTTTGTTGAGTTTTTTTTTTTTTAATCATAAATGGATGCTGGATTTTGTCAAATGCTTTTTCTGTATCTATTGTTATGATCGTATGATTTTTATCTTTCATTTGTTTACATGGTGCATCATGTTAATTGATTTGTGGATATTCAACAAACTTTGCATTCCAGGAAGAAATCCTACTTAATCATGGCGTATGATCTTTTTGATGTATTGTTGAATTTGGTTTGTTAATATTTCGTTGAGGATTTTTGCATCTATGTTCGTCAGGAATGTCGGCTTATGGTTTTATTGTTTTGTAATGTCTTTGGTTTAGGAATCAGGATAATGCTGGCATCATAGAATGAGCTTGGGAACCTTCCCTCCTCTTGAATTTTTTGGAATAGTTTGAGAGGAATAGGTGTTAATTCTTCTTCTTTGGTAAAATTTATCTGTGAAGCCATCTGATCCAGGACTTTTGTTTCTTGGGAGATTTTTCATTACCAATTTGATTTTGTTTGTAGTAACCAGTCTGTTGAGATTTTCTGTTTTTTTCTTGATTCAGTCTTGAAAAATTTTATATTTATAGTATTTATCCATTTCTTCCAGGAACTTCTCTATTCTTGAGCTTGTAAAATTTTCTATGCTGTAGCTAGAATGTGAATATTTCTTGATTCAAACTGCTGGATGCTTTCAGTCAGCTTGCACTTGTCCTTCAGCTCTGAGAAGTTCTCTGCTATTGTTTTCTTTTGTAGCCCCCGA